GAAGTTGACTGAAGCCAATTGAATTCATTACAAAAGGGTTATGAAATGTAGAGGATATTTGTGAATATAGCTTTGGGTAATTGAGGACGTTAAATAAATTTTTTTGTATAGAACATTCTTTTTAAGTTAATGAAGAAAGAGAGTAGACAAACATTTGAAGAAAAAAGATGCAAGATATAGTGATAATTTGAAACTATAGTCATCAAAGATTCGAAAATCCTCTATCTCACTTTTTGTGTACCATATGTATGCTACTTTTATAGGAGAATTGATTACAACTATTCCATAACTTATAATGTTAAGGTATTTTAAACTAATTATGGATTTTTTTTTCGAAATTTGTGCAAACATTAAAATTGCAAACCAAAAATTCTTTTGTACATTCAAAATGTATGTTCATGTGTGGTTGATATGATGTGTGATGTGTTCATACATGATTTTCATCACTTACTGCTTTGTCATATTTATTGCAGGATATATATTTTATTTTATGATTATATCAAGTATATTACATAGTCACACATGTATACTTGTAGTCTCTCTCCGTCCTAGTAGTTTATTCAAAATCCTTCAACATTCTATAATGTACTTTCCTAATCTATATCTTCTAATCTTTTCTATGTGGATATGGAGAGGCCTACAAGTTTTGAAAATATACACCAACAATATATACAAACCACATATACGTATTTTTATATTATCATACACACAAATTACACAAATGTATATTTATATATTATATCACATACACATATACCTTTATTTTAAGGGAATACCTTAAAAATAATTAGTTGGAAGTGGTTACTTGATCATGAATGATTGCAACACATATGTTATATAGTCTATAAATGTATCCTTAATTCTTAATTAATGTTAAAAAAGTCCATGATTGATTGTAACGATAACAATAATTATTGCTATCATGAATTAAGCTAGTTAATAGTGTCAAATCCGACCTAATTAAAAAAAAAATTATGTAATAGCCTTCATATAACCATAGGTTTAAATCTATATCTATACTTAGTATTTAAAAACACAAATCAACACAAGTTGAAGTGCCACATGTCTTCCTTCCCTATGACCCTTTTACATTTTTTTTCTTGAGTATAATTAATTGACAAGCGCACATTAGGGCGCGCTTTAAGGCATATAAATGGGTGGTTTTGGATGTATTTAGGCCCGTTTTGGTCGTTTATTGCCTTGTTACACTCGTTTCCTTCATATTACGTGCTTCACGGGTTTCGGTCTGTTTTTGGTGTGATAACAGGTATAGTTGACCAAGTTATGTCGAGTCCCGAACCATTGGTGCGTAATCAGGCTATTATCGATCCTAGTCCACCAAGCTAAGGCTTTGCTGCGGTTCTCAAGGCCTTGAAAGGCAAGTTAAGTAGCAGGCAAGGCAGAACAGTTCACAAATATGACACCTTTTCACTATTTTGCTCACAACTTTCGGTATACAAATGATAATGGAGTGATTCCAATTGCATTGGAAAGTAGACTTGAAGTGCTTTCCAACGATATATTGCACGCCTTAAACGAAGCTCTGGATAAGAAGTTGTGACTGTTTTAAGAAAACCAAAGTGCCTGCAACCTTCCTGCCTATGCTGCACGGCCGTGCCAAATTCAGCACGGCCGTGCCAAGCCAATTTCCATGCCCGTGCCAGTGCCAGATTCAGCACGGCCGTGCCAGATTCAGCACGGCCGTGCTAGGCATTAGCACGGCCGTGCCAACTTCAGCACGGCCGTGCCAATTTGAAGAAGAAACCCGGTTTACTTACTGACAAGCTAGCACGGCCGTGCCAAATACAGCACGGCCGTGCTGATCCAGGGTTAACTGCGCGCTTGAATTCTCCGAATTAGAAGACGTATATAAGGCCCAACTTTAAGAGGATTCCGGAGACAGTTTTAGAGATAGTTTGGAGAGCCTTTGTAGAGAGTTATTGGAGAACTTTTTTAGTATTAGAGATTCATTAGTTTTCTTAGAGAATTTCCTAGAGATTTTAGTTTTCTTGGATTGATTTGAAGCAAGATTTGCGAAGGTTCTTTGTATTATTCATTGACGACGGATATCAAAGTTCTGAACTTTTCCATTGATTCGCATCAATACAATTGGTATTATTCATTCTTGTTTATTAATCAAGCTTTATTATTCCTTAATCAGAATTCATGTTTATATCTATTATGCTTTTGGAATTCATTATTGCTTTGATTATGAATATGTGTGAGTAGTCTCCTAGCTAGGGTTTCGGGATGAAACCCGGCCTAGGTAATCTATGTAATTGAGGATTGATTTTGATAAACGGATTGTGATTAAATTGATTATATGCGATTGCATGTTAATTCATTATAATAGGAGTAGCTAACCTAGAATCTTGAATTTGATTGCATGATATCCTTGATTTGAACAAGAGATTGTGAATTGAGTATTTCATTATTGAATGTGGTTTGATTATGTATTGAGTAATGTTAAGTGCATGAGAAATCCAAGCTTAGTATTGCCTGTTGTCTTCCTATCACATGATATTGATCAGACATATAGTCTTTGCATATCCCGTTTGTCTCTGTGATTCCTTGTTGCGTAGTTACCGATGGTTTGGTGAATTCCCGTTCTCCCTAGTGTCTTAGTTTATTGATTTATTCCATCTTATTAGTAGTATTTTAGAACACCATTTTCCATTGATTTCGAACTAGCTTAGGTTTAAGATTGATTTGCAATTACTCTCGTTCCTCGTGGACCGAACCTTTATTTGCCATTGTACTTGGTTATAGGGTGTTCGTATAAGTATTGTTTGATTGAGAGTTAGATTGTAGCGACCGATTTAACCCTTGTCATTAATGTTTTTATTTTTCTTTATAATTTTCATAGGATTTCTTTAGCTTCCCCCTTTATTTCTTACTCCATAAAAACTATTTTTTATAGGAAAAATTGGCCTCAACACTCTGAAGTTTGGCGAAGGTGCACTGAGCACCCTCAACTTTACAAAGTAGCCAAAACACCACAAAGTACGGGATGCAGGTGCAGTGCGTGCCTTGAAAGAAATTTTCCGACCAAAAAGGTTGCCAGAGAACGGAATGTTTTATTTTTATTTATTATTAGCTCCCTCTTAATTTTTTTTCCCTTTAATCCTACAACTAAACCTCACGTGCCCTTCTCTCTCCTATTCTGTTTGAAACCCTCCTTTTTTTTTTTTCTCTCTGATCATTAATTCCCCCACCAACCCGAAATTGAAGACCTCCATTGTTGCAGAGCTAGAGCATCAGAAGACGTCATCAACGGGGTGAGCAATTTGTTTTCGTGACAGATTCTGTAAGTTACCCTAACTCAGAAAGTTTACATTTTTCGCACTGAATTGCGGTTTGTGATTATGCGATCAATTTTTTGATTTATTTGCTGAAATGTGTAGTGGAAAAAGTCTGGATTTTTTACTACAATGTGCTTGAATTATGTAATTGATGTGGTATTGTTGTTATATTGTTTGATTGTGGAAATTTTTTTGTTAATTTGGTTGTAATTCCATGCGTTTTTGCGAAATTGAATTAGGTGATGGATAATGAGAAGTTTACTATAAAACTTAATCATGGAGGGATATTAACTCCTGATTGGCAGTACATTGGGGGAAATGTGCATTATTGGGACAATGTTGACCCCGATTATGTGAGTTACTTTGAATTTTTAGCCATGTTGAAGGAGGAGGGTGTGAAATACAGTAATACATGTGGTATGTATTATCTTTTGCCTGGTTTGGATTTGAAAAAGGGTCTAGTAAGAGTGTGGAAGGATAGTGAAGTGTTAGATTTTGTGAAAGTGGGTGTTGTCAATGGGATGGTTGAATTGTATGTCATTCATGGGGTGGATGAAGCAGAAGTAGTCACCTTCCTTGAAGGCCCTAGTCAAGCAACAAATGGAGTTCCAACTGTGGGAAGCAGTCAAACAAATACACAAATCCTAAAGTCCAATGAATTGAAGAAACTAAATCCAAGAAGACCTATTAGCCCTAGAAAACAAAAAACCCCAGTAGTCCCAAACTCTTCCTCATAGTCTGCTAACACTTCATCTAGGAGAAGACCTCCACCACAACCACCAATTAGGACCAGCCCCAGAAAACAAAAAACCCCAGTAGTCCCAAACCCTTCCTCTCAGTCTTCTTACACTTCATCTAGGAGAAGACCTCCACCACAACCACCAATTAGGACCAGCCCTAGAAAACAAAAAACTCCAATTCTGCCCAAACCTTTGTCACATTCTACTAACCCACCAAATAGAAGTAAGAAAACAACATTGAACAACAAATCAAGTAACCTGTTCCAGAAAAGGCTTGACAAAATTAGGTCTAGACTTGAATATCTAAGTACACCTAATGATGTTGGTGACAATGTTCCTGATTTTGGTGGAGTTGGAGATAATGCAGATGAGTTGGGAAAAGATGGATTTGGAGATAATTCAGATACTTTAAGAGTTGCAGGTCAGTCATCTGAGTACATTCATGTAGATGATTGGTATGACACTGAAAATGAGGATTATAACTCTGAGAGTGATCATGATTTTGCATTTAATGAAGAGGATGGTGGTGATGTTGAGTATAAGGACTGTGATTGGGTTGTGAGTGAGGGTGAACTTGACCTAAGTCCAGCTGAATCTCTAGAGGACAATGATGACAGCTGTGATGATGATTACCAACAGGAGCAGAGCAGTTCTAGTGATGATGAACATGTGCAGTCAGTAATCAATTTGAAAAAAAAGCAAGAAAATTCCAAAGAAAGAGTTGGCTGGGAGTTCAAAGGCAAAAGAGTTGTTAAGTATACCATTATAAAGTGGATGGGAGAGTGAGTATGAGGATGAAGATGAAGATGTAATCCCTAACTCAGATGTTGAAGACAGTGATTGTGAACTACAGGAACTAACAACCAATGCAGTCAAAGTAATGGATAAGGACACTGATTTTAAGAATCTTGTATGGCAGGTGGGAATTAAATTCCACTCTCCTGAGTAGTTTAGAGATATGGTGAACAGGTATGCAGTGTATGCAGGGTACAACATTAGGTGGTTCAAGGTTGAGAAAAATAAGAAAATGGAAGCTAGGTGCAAGTCTGGGTGTGAGTGGAAGTTGTATGCATCTTGGGATGGTGAGCATAAGTCCTTTGTTGTCAGCTCATGCAATCCAGAGAACACATGCAACAGGGCTGATTATGAGAATTTGCAAGCTAAGGCTGGTTGGTTTGCTAAGGAGTATTTGCAGAAATACATAGACAATCCTAACTGGTCAAGGAAAGAGTTGGAAAAGGATGTGATGGAAAGGTTTGGGGTTAGACTCTCAAAGTGGAATTGCTACAGAGTGAAAACTATTGCTCACAAACTACTTCATGGTAACTTGTTTGATCATTACTCTCAGCTGGCCACTTATCTGTCTGAGTTGAAGAAGAGTGATGTTGGTATGAGGTTTCAATTGCAGACAATTGAAAGAGAAAAGGATGGTGATCAAGTCTTTAAAAGAGTGTACATCATCTTTCCAGCTCTAAGGGAAGGGTACATGTCTAATTACAGACAACCAAATGTTTCCAGTTGCTTGGGGTGTGGTGGAGGCTGAAAATAATGACTCATGGTCTTGGTTCTTGGAAACACTAAAGCTTGATATGCCTGACTTTGGTGGAGAAGATAGCACAGTTATTTCTGATCAACATAAGGTAAAATCAAAGTTTAATTTGCTTACATAATAATCTAACACCTTGTGAAACTATGCTAAACACAACTTTTGGCACTTCACCTTGCAGTCAATTGTTGCAGCAGTGAAGCTTTGGTTCCCACTTGTGGAACACAGACTATGTGCAAGGCACATATACCCACCATAGCACAAGAAACATGGAGGTGATGAGTTGAAGAAGCTGTTCTGGAGGGCAGTGTATGCATACACCAAGGCAGACCATGAAAAGGCCCTTAAAGAAATGAAAACAATCTCTCCTGCTGCTGTTGAAGACTTCATCAAGCAAAAACCTCAAGCTTTTTGCAGATATGGATTCAGAACAGTCACTAAGTGCAACCTAGTTGTAAATAACCTAGCTGAAACCTTCAATGGGTGGATACTAGAAGCCATATCTAAACCAATAATACACATGCTTGAAGACATAAGAAGGGCTTTGATGGAGAGGTTATTCAAGAAGAAAACTCTAATGGAGAGAGCTAAGGACATAATCTGTCCAAGAATAAGGAAAAGACTTGAAAAAAACAAAGAGTATGCCAAGTGTTGCACTGTATTGGCATCTGGTAGAACAGAGTTTGAAGTTCTTCATGGCATGGAAGTTTTAGTGGTAAATTTAGATTTGAAGACATGCACATGCAGACGGTGGGACCTACATGGTTTCCCTTGTTGTCATGTTATTGCAGCGTGTAACTGGCTGAGGGTACCATGTGAGGATTATGTAGATGCAAGCCTGACTAAGGCAAGGTATCTGCAAGCTTATAGTGGTTCAATTAAACCACTAAGGGGAGAGAATCACTAGGAACATGTAATTTTCCCATTGCACCCACCTGATATAAAAATAGGAGCAGGAAGACCAAGAAAAGCTAGGAAAAAGGCTCCACATGAAAGACAAGAAAAGCCAGGAAAATTAAGTAGGCATGGTTTGAAAATGAGTTGTAGTGTATGCAAGTCAAAGATGCATACCAAAAGAAAATGCCCTCTAAAACCAAGTGACAATACACCAACAAACCAACTGCAAAAGGTAATCTTCAACCCTATATATGCCCAACAAACACTATTGAGAGCTACTACATATTACTAACAACTAATTTCTGTAATCAGGCAAGCAAAAGAGGAAGAAAAAACCAATCCGCATCTGCTTCTGCATCTGCGCCTTCTGCAGCTCCTACCAAGAAATCTACAAGAACACAAGCCAAGAACACTTCTGCTACTGTTGTACATACACCTACCACAAGATCTGCATCTGCAAGACAAAAAGCAGCTTCAGAACCACAGAGAGGGAGGGGCAGACCAAGAAAAGGAACTAACTCCATCCTAACAGACTGTGGAGAAGTGGGAACACAAGCTTCAACAGCAGCTCAGCAACCTTCAGCCATGGCAGAATAAGTTTTTAGAGTTGGTATTTTGGGTGTGAATTTTTTGGTATACTGAGGAGGTAGTCAGAGTTCAGATCTAATACAATTTGTTTTTGTCCTTGTAAAAGCATCTTTGAACTACCTTTTGGTTGTTACCCATGTGATTTAAAGCATTCAATATGAAAAGTACACATGTTGTTGTTTTTGTCATTATTAGTTCTTATTTTATTACACTATCACACAATACAATAACAACACATAAGATATGAACCAAAAACCTTTTTCCTTTTCATTTCTTGAATTAAAAAGAGTACATCTTGATTTTCCACACGAAAGTGGTTCCCATTATTACATATTCAAATACCCAAATACATACTATTATACCAGCTCACATATTACTACCCACCCTACTTAATTCAACTACCCAGACATCTTCACCAACCTACAGTCTTGCAAAATAAAAGAAAACCACAAAGCCCCTTTCTCTCCCTCTCATATATAGGCTTGAGTTGTTGCTTTAATGTCTTGTTCTCTGTTTTAAGTGCTTTTAGTTTAACCCCATGATCATATGCTTGTTTCTGAATCCCTGTGTTTTTCTTCATATGCTCCAATTCAGCTTCCATCCTCTCATTATCTGCAGCTAGACCATTAATTACTCAAAAAACTTGCAGTCATCAACCTGCATGTACACATGAATCTACTTTATTCCATTCCAAATCAAAAAAATTAACACTGACATTTAAAATTACAATTACCTTCCACTTTGAACACCCGTAGAAACGTTTCCCTTTATTTTCATTGAAGCTCCACGCAGTGCAAAACACAACAGCCAATCGATGTCCACAATACACCCTCACATTTGCACGCAAATTCGATCTCCTCCTAAACGAAGTAGTTGATGTTGAGCTCATGCTTCAATTGGGGAAAAAATTCCAATTCCAAACTTTTTAGGGTTTTCAAATTGGGGAGAATTGGGATATGAGACCAGGGGTAATCGAATTGGGGAAGAACTTGGATTATAAGAAGAGGGTCACGTGGGTTTCAAACAGAATAGGAGAGAGAAGGGCACGTGAAGTTTAGTTGTAGGATTAAAGGGAAAAAAATTAAGAGGGAGCTAATAATAAATAAAAATAAAACATTCCGTTCTCAGGCAACCTTTTTGGTCGGAAAATTTCATTAAAGGCACGCACTGCACCTGCATCCCATACTTCGTGGTGTTTTGGCTACTTTGTAAAGTTGAGGGTGCTCAATGCACCTTCGCCAAACTTCAGAGTGTTGAGGCCAATTTTGCCTTTTTTATATTATGTACGGAGTAACTTCCAATTTAATTTAACAAATGGAGTTTCTTAACCACTAGTAGAAAATATCAAAAAGGCACCCCCTAATTGGCACCGGTTCAGTCCAAACCGGTGCCAAAAATGGCCTATAAAATTGGTGGGAAGCTAAACTAGAGTAAAAGGCACCGGTTCACTTCAATCCGGTGCCAAAATAATAAAGGCCACCGGTTTGAACCGGTGCCTTTTTGAACCGGACCTTAAATTATTTAAAAAAAAAAAGCGGCCGCCTCCTCCTCTCATTTTATAACCCTAATTAAAACACTGATCTCCTTATCTCTCCTCTCACTCCGCCTCTTTACTCCCTTCTCTCTCCTCTGCTCTCCCTTCTCTATCTCTCCTCTGCTCTCCCTTAAACTCTTCTCTTTCTCTTTGAACACCACCGCAACAACACCCCCTCTATCTCTCCTCTGCTCTCCCTTAATCTCTTCTCTTTCTCTTCGAACACCACCTCAACATCAACAACAACAACATGCAACAACAACGCCGCAACAACAACAACGCCGCAAATATGCATTTTCTGGGTTTTTGAACTGATTTTGTTTTTTTTTTTCCTTTTTTTTCCGTTTTTCTGGGTTTTTTTTGGATTTTTGAACTAATTTTTTTTTTGTTTTCGATTTTCTGGGTTTTAATTTTTATATTTTTTCCGATTCATTTTCTTTTTTGAACTAATTTTCATTTTCATTTTCTTTTTTGAACTGATTTTCATTTTCATTTTCTTTTTTGAACTGATTTTCATTTTCATTTTCATTTTCTGGGTTTTTTTGTCGATTTTTTATTTTATTTTCTGGCTTTAAATTGATGTTCTGGGTTTTAATTGATTTTGGGTTTTATTTTCTGGGTTGTAATCGATGTTCTGGGTTTTTGAACTGATTTTAATTTCTTTTTTTTTTTTTCTTTTTTTCCCTTTTTTCTTGGTTTTTTTTGGATTTTTGAACTGATTTTTTTTTTGTTTTCGATTTTCTGGGTTTTTATTTTTTTATTTTTTCCGATTCATTTTCTTTTTTGAACTGATTTTCATTTTCATTTTCTTTTTTGAACTGATTTTCACTTTCATTTTCTGGGTTATTCTTTTCTTTTTTTCGATTTTCTTTTTTTTCGATTTACTGGGTTTTTGAATTAATTCATGTTAATCGATTCATTTTGGTTGTTTTAATTGGTGCAGGTATATGGATTTAGTTCTTAAATTGAAGAATTAAATTGAAGAATCAACATGCAAGTATATTGATCTTAAATCGAAGAATCAACTGATTTTATTTTTTTTTATTTATATTGTAATTTTTTTTTATATGTTGTAATTTTTTTATTTTGATTTAGCTGTTGTAATTTATTTTGAACAGATTTGATTATATTAATATTTTGGCACTTTTTGTTATTATTAAGATTTGATTGTACTGTAATTTTTTTTGATTATATATATATTAATATTATAATGAATAGATTTGATTATATTAATATTAATACAGATTTAATTTTTAAGTAAAAAAAAAATAAAATTAATATGTTGGCACTTTTGGCACCGGTTAACCGGTGCCAAAAACTGTTAAATAAATTTTTTTTTGTACTTTTTGGCACCGGTTAACCGGTGCAAATTTCAAGTTTTGGCACCGGTTTGAACCGGTGCCTTTTTAAACCCCTTTTTGGCACCCCTCACACAGGCACCGGTTCAAACCGGTGCCTTAGGCCGGGTTTGAACCGGTGCCAAATTTGTTTTTTCACGTAGTGAACTTTCTCTTCTTCTCCCTCCATCTTTCAATTCGATTAAATCACATTCATTTAATTATTTGACCCTTTATCTTCCCCCGATCTATCTCCTTATATAACTACAATTTTACAAAAAAAAAAAAATGTAAATTGAGATTGCAAAGAAGGAAGAATTGAGTTTGACACGAAAAATGAAGAAAAACCCATACGTGATTTGTGAAGTTTTAAGTTTAATTTAATATTAACTTATGCACAGCCCGTGCGTAAAACGGGCCCAAAAGCTAGTTATTTATAATATATAGGAATATGGGGTCAGCCAAAGCAGTCTCTCATTATGGCTATAATTATTCTCACTTCTCACTATCAATTTGACAGGTAAGCACATGCAATGTCAATAAATCATTAATCACAATCTTAAATGCAAGAGTAAAGTAGACTTTTTTGTTTCTTGTTCTCATTAAAAACCTAAAGTATATAGATTAGCAATATAAAAACATTAGGTTATAAATAAATTAGGTTATTAGGGTCCATTTGACTAATTTGTTGGGCCATGTTTTTATCCTTAATTTAGTTTCTTCATATATATATGGCCATTGGTCCATGTATCAAACTATCAATCAATTAGTTTTAACGAGAATTTGTTGATTTTTTCCCATTCATGAAGACATATGGGACCTTAGTGTATATATGTATTATAATATAATTGTCTTCAACCCATGCATATTTTATGACATTTGTTTAATTTATTGATACAATTAGCATTTTAGCTCGTTCAATGCACGGGTTATAATATAGGTTATTTTTATATAAATGTATGCTTTTCAATAGTTGAAACTACGAAGTTATTGTTACATGACTTTTGAGGTAAATGATGTGAAAACATTTTTTTTTATTATTACAAAAAAAGTGAGAATGGAATTGTGAAAGAATAATTAATTTAGTTAAGTATATATACATGAATATTGTAGAACATGAAATGACATATTAGTTTAAGCTATATTTTAAGTTTAAGAGATAAAAAGACTATTTTTATTATACTTCATATATTAATGTAATAGTTAATTCAACTTTATTCTATCATGGTAGAAATTAAACACTTCATTTTTTTACTTAAATGTGCAAGTTACGGAATGCACAAAGACTTTAGCATTATGTAATAATTTTAATTTAATTTTTTTAAAAAATATTGAAAAGGTAAGGGAAGTAACCTTTGCAAATGAGTGAGTTGTGACTTGTGAAGACATGTGGCATACGAATAAGTTGTGAGGACGTGTGGCATATGAATGATTGTGGTTTGAGTTTTTAAATACTAAGTATAGATATAGATATAGATTTGTTTATTTGAAAAGTGTTGATATGATTTAATTTATACGGATTATTATATTTTGAGATTAGTGAAAAATTCA